GGGGTGGCTGGGGAAGGTACACCATAATGTTTTCAGTGATCAGGACCTCTAAATACATTTTCCGTGCCTTGGTTAGAACTCGTGTTTCTGAAGAGGACTTGCTCTGCTCCTCCGCCGTGGTATAGAAGTAAGAATTTGAGAGCAGGCGTTGTAACCCCAGTGCTCTGGGAGGCCAAGGCAGGAGGATCACAGGAACCCAGAATTTGATTCTGCAGTGAGCTGTGATCATGCCACTGACTCCAGCCTCAGCAACAGAGCTTGAGACGCTGTCTCAAAAAAAAAAAAAAAAAAAAAAGTAAGAATTTGAATTTAAGGCTTCAACTCATACCCTGCCTTTGCTCAGGGGATTGATAATATGTACTTTGTAGGATTTGAAGTAATCTAGGTAAGTAAAGCTTAACAACTGACATGCAGAAGCCACTCAAACAATGAAAGCTGAGTTCAATGATCTCTAAATAACTAGGCCTGTCGTCTTCTTCCATTTCAGGGGTCAGCAAAATCTTTCTGTAAAAATGCAGATAGTAAAATTGCTCAGCTTTGCAGGCTGTATGATCTCTCTGCTACAACTCTTCAGCTCTGCTGGTGTAGTGCAGAAGCTGCCGTAGACAATATATATGCACAACTGAATGCGGCTGTGTTCCAATAAAACTTTATTTATAGATATGGAGACTTGAATTTCATGGAAGTTTCACATTCCTCCCCATCCCCGACACACACACAACCATTTAAAAATGTAAAAACCATTATTTAGATCACGGGCCATCTAAAAACAAGCAGTGGAATGGATTTGGCATGAAGGCTGCTGTTTGCCACCCTCTGTTCCATTCTAAAATCAGCCCCTTCTTACCAAAGACAATTATCAAATTTTTTTTTTTCACTCTTAAACAGAATTGCATTCTGTTGCCCAGGCTGGAGTGCAGTGGTGCTATCCTGGCCCACTGCAGTCTGGACCTCCTGGGCTCAAGTGATCCTCCCACCTCAGTCTCCTGAGTAGCTGGGACTATAGACATGCACTAACACACCCGGCTAATTTTTTTGTAGAGTTTTGCCATGTTGCCCGGGCTGCTCTTGAACTCTTGAATTTAAGCAATCCTCCCACCTCGGCCTTCCAAAATGCTGGGATTACCGGTGTGAGCTACTGCACCTGGCCTTTTTCACTCTTATAAAATACAAATTAAATACCAGTGTCTTTTTTTTTTTTTTGAGACGGAGTTTCGCTCTTGTTACCCAGGCTGGAGTGCAATGGCACGATCTCGGCTCACCGCAACCTCCGCCTCCTGGGTTCAGGCAATTCTCCTGCCTCAGCCTCCTGAGTAGCTGGGACTACAGGCACGCGCCACCATGCCCAGCTAATTTTTTGTAGTTTTAGTAGAGACGGGGTTTCACCATGCTGACCAGGATGGTCTCGATCTCTTGACCTCGTGATCCACCCGCCTCGGCCTCCCAAAGTGCTGGGATTACAGGCGTGAGCCACCGCGCCCGGCCTTAAATACCAGTGTCTTTTTATTTTGAGAACCACGGGGACAGCCCAGCGCCCAGAAATGCAATTGTTAATTTTTTCGTGTTACCACTATCCCACATCTATGGAATATCATTTTGATTGAGTTCCTCTGGCCCCATGGGACACTAGAAGCAGTTTGTGGGGAGAAAGGGAGCACTGTTTTTTGATTTCCCGGTGAAAGTGCCCAAATGGAAGCACAGGGTCTCAAAGTCTGACTTCTCTGTTTGCCTACTGTGCGGTGCGAGACCAGCTCCTCTGTGTCCGGGTCCACCATGCTGAGGCTCCCACCTCATCTGCTTGTCGTGAGGACTCAGTGGGATATGGCCCGCACCATACCCCGCCCACGGCAGATGCTCCGCGAACGCAGCAGAGGCCATCCTGAGCATCCAGGGCAAACACTACACGCATGGTTGCTGGGTGTGCTGGCCCCTGGAGAAGGGATCAGGGCTGGGAGGATATCTTCAAGGATCAAGGATATATTCAGCCCAGGCTGGGAGGGGGTGCGATGATTTAAAGTGCCTTTCTGGCTTCCGTGCGGCAGGTAGCAGGTTCTAATCTCCAACTCCTAAGCAGAATTGCACAGAAAACTTCAATCTAACCAGCCAGCTCTTACCCATTAGTCCCTGAAAAGTCCCTGCCTCTCCCTAGCCACAGGAAAAAGATGATTTGGGGAGGAAAATCTTTCAGCTGCCCGAAAGAGTTCAACCCTCTTCAGGCAGCTGTTCTCACGTCTGCGGTTGACCCGCGTCTTACCTAGGGCACGCAGATGTCTGCACAGTGGCAGTGTTCATTTGCCATTATACCTACACAGACATTATCCCATGTCACGGCATGGTTGTCACATGTATCAGTGCTGATGGCAGCATACTACTTCTCTGAATAGCTTTACCAGCACTGTCTTAACATTTCTCTACTGTTGAACATTAGGTTGGTTTTAGTGTCAGATGTAACACAGTGACACCGTCTTTATGTCCGTAGGCTTTTTATTGTACCGAACTATTTCTTTCCTTTGGATAGGTTCTAAGGAGTACTATAGTCAGATCAGGCAGGGGGTGTCCCTCTGGCCCTCCTTGGGCTGCATCCCTCCCACCTGGTGAGGAGTCCGCAGGGCAAAGGAACATGCCCACTGAAAATCCACATCCTCCCTTTTAGACCATTCTCCAGGTGCCCGAGGCCCCCAGAAGTCCCTGCCCAATGGCCCTGTGCTCGTCTCCAGGGCCAGCACAGCCCTTCCCTGAGTCTCTCCCACTGAGGTCCGGTCACACCACCAGTAGGCACACTCGGATCTGAGGAGTGGCCAAGAGGCCGTGGGGTGGTGGACAGAGCTGTCCGCACACATTAACACGAGGCCCCCTCAATGCTGGACAGACTCAGGAACTGGAAGGACAGTGGGTCTGGGGGCTGGCAACTGGCTCTCCCTGTGCTGTCACGTTCCAACATAGGACACAGAGGCATCTGAGAATTTTTAACTCCAGCCCTTCCAGGTGGCGGTGACAGTACATTTGCCAAGGCAGGAGGCTAGAACATATTTTCATTTAACAGTTTGTAACCTGATTTCTAACTTTAAACTACTTACACATATGCTATGCGAGTCTCCATCTATACGCTTGCCTGGAACCCCGCAAATCATTAAGAGGAGGTCTGGGTGAAAGGTTGCGACCATATCTGAGGTCTCTTGCTGTGTCTATATTGCTACGTTGCTTTTCTGAATAGTTGTACTGGTTTACAATTTATGAATGTGCCGCTTTCGGCACGCTCTCTCAGGCACCAGGGATTTCAGTTGTTGCTGATTCAGCAGGTGTGAAATCGTTTGTTAACACTGTTTTACTCTGCATTTCTTTGATCACCTGCAAGAATAATACAAGCCACTTTTATCGAGCTCTTACTATGTGCCAGGCACTATGATAAAGCACTTTGCCAGTCTTTTCTCATTTACGTGTCCCAGGAACCCCCTGAAGTATATATAATTAGGATTCCTATTTTAGAGATTGGAACACAGAGCCTGGAGGAATAAAGAAATTTGCCCAACATTGCAGTTAGCAACTGGGGCAGCCAGGATGAGAAACCAACTCCAAAATCTGTGGTTTTTAGTTACGTTACACATGTCTTGCATGGATCTATATCCTAAATGTACTTCCTTTTTGGTGATGGACTTTTTTTTAAGTTATTTTAAACTTTTAATTTTGGAATAATTTTAGATTTACAGAAGAGTTACAAAGATGGCATACACCGTTCTTATGTGCCCTTTATCCAGCATTGCCTACTGTTCACATCTTACACAATGATGGTACATTTGTCAAAACTAAGAAATTACTATTGGTATAATATGCTAGGGTGTGGTGGCACGCGGCTGTAATCTCAGCACTTTGGGTGGGAAGCCCAGGTGGGTGTATCACTTAAGGTCAAGAGTTCGAGACCAGCCTGGGAAACAAGGCAAACCTCATCTCTACCAAAAAAAAATTAGGCATGGTGGTGTGTGTCTGTAGTCCCAGCTACCTGGGAGGCTGAGGTGAGAGGATCACTTGAACCTGTACGGTTGAGGCTGCCGAAATTGTGCCAATGCACTCCAGCCTGGGCACCAAAGTAAGACCGTGTCTCAAAAAAAAAAAAAAAAGGGTATAATACTGTTGGAAACAAGACGCTCAGTCCCACAAAGAAAACTTAGCACTGGGACAAAGGATTGTTCAGCAACACAATTTTTACTTCCTGGACTGCAGGAAGGGGACCCTCGCTAGCCATCCTGCCACGAGAGTACAATGAACAAAGGAAAACAGACACATTTATCCCTTATGCATTTGGCGTTCTTCTATACTGCTGTGTCTGATCTCCGTTGGCTGGAGCCAGAGCTCACAATCTAAACTAAAACCCGATTGGCTAAGAACTTAAAACTTCTCTAAATAGGTAAAAGCAATGGCGAGCTGGGACATGCCTGTGAGCACGTCCAGCACAGATATCTTAGTTAAAGTACAAGGGCATAGAATGTAAGTGTGGCATGTCTAACAGCTACATAGAATAGAGTGTAACAAAGAGTTCTCAGCACGCTTATGATTTATTCTTTAACAAGGAAGAAAACTTTAAAGAGGAACTTTTTTACTTCCCCACAATTACTATTATCTAAACTATAGATTTTATTTGCATTTTTGTGAATATAGTCTTTACCTTTTAGCATTAAGAATTTCACGTTACTCTTAAAAATTTGAATAAGTTATTTACATGTTATTTGCTAAGTACGCAAATATAAGTCTCTCTGGTCATAGATACGCCCCCAAATCCACTGTTTGGCGCATCCTGTTCCCTGACCTGACTCCCTTTGCTCTCCTCCTTTTCACATCTTCCCTCTGTGTCCTCTAGAACAGCGGTCCCTAACCTTTTGGCACCAGAGACTGGTTTTGTGGAAGACAGTTTTTCCGTGGATGGGGTTGGGGGCGGAGTGCGGATGGTTTCAGGATGAAGCTGTCCCACCTCAGATCCTCAGGTCCATTCTCATAAGGAGTGCGACACCTAGATCCCTTGCACGTGCAGTTCACCATAGGGTTCGCACTCCTTTGAGAATGTAATGCCACCGTTGATCTGACAGGAGGCGGAACTCAGGCAGTAATGCTTGCCTGTCACGCACCTCCTGCTGTGCAGCCCAGTTCCTGACAGGCCACGGACAGGTACCAGTCCGTGGCCTGGGGGCCGGGGAACCCCTGCTCTAGAACACGCAATCTGTTCTACGGTCAAATCCCTATGCACTCTCTCGCCTTCATTAAACACACCGCCCTCCCCTCTGCCTATAGCCCTATGGCTACCTGGTTCTCCCTGGAGGACAGGGCCTGGCCTAAAACTCTCAGGAGCATGTTCTCAAGGAGGGAAGAAACATTTACAATGAAATTATTAAAAATTTCATACTTAAAATTAATTTATAAATGTTCAAACAAATAAATACAGATCAATGGAACAGAATAAAATATCCAGAAATAAAGCCAGCTAAATATAAGAATATAATATTTACTATTTTAGAGTAAGAAGGCAATGAAGGATTATTGGGTAAGTGTTGCTGGGACATTGGAAAGCTCTGAGGGGATAAGTCCACGTATCAACACACTAAGTGCTTCCTGGTGCTGCTGGTACAGCACTTTTTAAGCGCAGACATGCCCTTTCAGCAGCTGGTTATTTTGGAGGAAAGACAGGCACTGAACAGGCAGCCGTAGTGAAGGATGACAGGTGCCGTTACGATACGCAGGGCGTGCTCTGGGAACACATGGGAGAACTCATCGCAGAATGCTTCTTTGGAAACACATATATATATATAAAAAGAGAGAGAGAGAGATAGAGAAAGAGAGAGAGAGAGAGAGAGAGAGACAGGGTTTCACTCCCGTCACCCAGGCTGGAGTGCAGTGGCATGATCTCAGCTCACTGCAACCTCTGCCTCCCGGGCTCAAGCAATTCTCCTGCCTCAACCTCCCAAGTAGCTGGGACTACAGGTGCACTCCACTGTACCCAGCTTTTGTTTTTTGTTTGTAGAGATGCGGTTTTGCCATGTTTGTCAGGCTGGTTTCGAACTCCTGGCCTCAGGCAATCTTCCTGTGTTGGCCTCTCAAAGTGCTGGGATTACAGGCGTGAGCCACTGTTCCCGGCCTCTTTGGACATATTTATTGGTCATCTGATAAGGTACAATATTGTACCCCCTGAAATGATGACATCCTAGTTTCTCTTTCCAATATCATACTACCCTTATTTATTTCTTATGTCCAGTTACGTTGTCTGTTCCTTGTATTGCTTTAATCACTCATCCCATCAGCCTAAGATTAGAAAAAGCAGATCAGGGACTCTCATGGGTGTGTGTGATCTAAACTTGGTCAAAGGCAAAAAAGGTAGTTGGAAGTCTGTGGATTCTTTGTTCATGGTGGTGCAAAGGAGAAGTGTTCCCAGGTGAAGGTCAGGGAGTTGACCAGTTGTTTCCATGGGTGTGATTGCCAGGAGTTAATGAAATGCTGTGTGAGGGAGTAACATTAAGGCTCACTTGCACCAGAGCTTCAAGGCTGGTTTTTCCTTCTAAAAACAAACACTGAGGTCTAGGATTTCAGAAATCACTGCTCGAACACATCAGTAAACATCCCCTCTTTTGTGAAGCCTTCATGAGTGCCCTTCAAACGGAGAGCTTCGCCTCGCTTCCTGAACACGACTTTGTCAACAGCTCGATTACTGCACTTTCTGCCCTGCGTGGGATCAGCTCTTTACTTGTGTGCCCACGAGGCCGTAAGTGCTCTGTAACGTGGTGCCATGGCTTCCGACCTTTCTGCAAGGCTGTAAGCCTTCAGCGGGCACAGAGAGGCTGCCTGGAGAACTGTCACTGAATAAATGAGAGACAGTAGGTGGGTGGGTGAATCAACGAAGTGAAACGATAGTTCTGTGGTCCAGAGATGCACTGTCCAGTACGGTAGCCACCAGCCACATGTGACCACTTACATTAAAATTCATTGAAATTAAGTGCAACTAAAAAGTCAGTTCCTCCATTGCACTAGCCGCATCTCGAGTGTCCCACAACCGTACGTGGCTGGTGGCTACTGTACTGAACAGCACTGATTACAGAACATTCCCATCATCTCCAAGTGCTTTGGGACAGCACTAGTCTAGAGGGAACCTTGTCTGTATTAGACGCATACATGTGCACACACAGAGTTAGAGGGGCATCCCGTGGAGTTACCAGGAGGGTCACCTCACCCCAACAGCTTTTGCTGAGTCATTGACACACAGGACATTACTGTTCTTGCCTGGGGGAAGGAAAAGGTTCTAGATGAAGTGAAAGGAGATCCTCTGTTTCTAGCCCCCTTCCACTCCCTATTTCAAACCTCTTAGGGAATGCAAGATAAGACTCCGCCACCGTGGTATTGGACGGGATTTCATTTCTTTCTCAGACAATAAGGCTTTCATTGTATTCCCATTATGCTATACTTCTGATTTATGAAGGGAAACCCCCATGTCTCATAGGTTAATCATCTTTATTTAAGGCTGGGAAGGGGCCAAAAGCGGTGGGTCCACGAACAGGGTGTGACCACCACGGATGCCTGCCTGGAGAGCCCTCATGGAGCCCATGCATTCCCTGCGGATTCCACTCTTTGTCCGGTAATCTTTGCACAGACGTTTTTGAATGTTCTGTATCTTTGTCCCTGGAGCTTGATCTTAAGCTCTGCTCATCCGTCACCCCACCTGCTGGAGGTCTGCTCCTTCAGGGCAGACGCCCGACCAGGGATGACAGCCCCCTTTAGCCAGTTATGACTGTGCTCGGATATCACCAAACCCTCCCGTTCCCTTTTTTGGAGACAATAAGCAATGGTTAATGTCTGCAGAGTGTGTGGGATCAGAAAATCCCTGGGGCAGTAGCTAGATTCTTAATAAAAATTCATGACAGCCCCTAGAAGCAGCAGCTTCTATGAATGGAAGGCTTCACAGGAAAAAGACGTCAGAATTCTACTCAACAACACATGCCACATGAGCCAAGAATGGTCACAATCTTAGGCTGAACAAACAGAAGTAAACAACCACATCAAGAGACTAATTGTTCCACGCTGCTTGGTGCTGGGAAGATCACGCCAGTGCAGGGTGGAAGCAACACTTTAGGAGGTCTAGAGGGGAGGATTAGTCGGAAGGAAAATGGAAAAGATGGTCAGAAACCATTATCTTTGGATGTGGAAAACATCTTAGCTGAGATTGCTCGGGACAGAATGAGGATTCAAGAAAACCCATCAAACTGAAATTATAATGCGTGGATGTCAACCGACAGGACGCGATCTGGCAGCTTTAAACATCAAGTTCTGCTTTTGCAATCCAAAAAGTGCATTTGTAAAAGTAGGTGCCTAAGAGTTTCAGATGACCGCAAATTTGTCATAAGGCAACCGCACAGTTGAAATGTTAAAAATAAAGTCATATGGTGGGCATGCGGGCACAGGCCGAGACTCCCAGTTACTCCGGAGGCTGAGGTGGAGGATCGCTTGAGCCCGAGAGGGGGAAGCTTCCGTGGCCTGTGATTACGACACTGCAATCTAGCCTGGGTGACGGAGTGAGACCCTGTCTCAAAAAACAAATAAATAATAAAATTGTAAATGCCCGTTACTGATATGGGATGCGTGGGGGTGGCTAACAGTGTCCCCTGTACCCCGCATTTGACAACTACATCCAGAGAACACCGAAAATCAGCACTCAGTGCTGGTCCTATGAAAAGGGCTTGAGGTCACCTTAAGAAAAGGGCTTGGGGGAGTGAGGTCAGGGTGGTGTGGGCTGGAAGTGTTGGGTCTAGGAAAATTATCAGAGTTTCGATAAGTCTCTGCAGATCTTTTAAAAGTCAACTTATAAGGGAAAGAGTAAACAGACAGTTTGATCTAGACAATTAACTGCTCTTAATTGAGAGCTGAGCAGAGAAAAGACATTCCCGCTCTTTCCTCCATGTTAGGGGCACTGTGCTAAAGGCATGCATAAGTCCATTCAGTCCTTAGAATAACCCCAGCAGGTAGGTGTATTATCTGCATTTTGTACATGAGAAAGCTGCTTATTAAATGTGAAATTCAAGGCCATATAGCTTGTTAAGCAGCAGAACTAGGATTTGAACTAGGATTTGTCATTTGCCTGACACCTAAGTCGCCTTCCTCCAGGAAGTCTTCCCTGATTGTGCCTTAACTTCCCTCTCCCTGGCATCATCTTTCCCCTCAAGCTCCTTTTCTTTCTCCTTTACCACTTCCTCCTTCTATCTCGATCTGCTTCCCATGGTTCTGACCCCTTCCCTTCTCCCCTCGCCAAAACCAACCCAACTTTCTTTTTTTTTTTTTTTTTTTTTGAGACTGAGTCTTTGCTCTGTCACCCAGGCTGGAGTGCAGTGGCGCAATCTCGGCTCACTGCAACCTCCACCTCCCGGGTTCAAGCAATTCTCCTGCCTCAGCCTCCCGAGTAGCTGGGACTACAGGGGCGCGCTACCACGCCCGGCTAATTTTTGTATTTTTAGTAGAGACGGGGTTTCACCATGTTGACCAGGATGGTCTTGATCTCTTGACCTCGTGATCCGCCCACCTCGGCCTCCCACAGTGCTGGGATTACAGGCGTGAGCCACCGCGCCCGGCTGAACCCCCCCCAACTTTCATCTCTCTCTGCTGAGTCCCAACATTTTTTCCGAAGCTGGCCACTTGCCAATTCCCATTTCCACATTTTTACTTTTTAGTGCAGAATTTTATGACTGGTAGTTGTACAAATTATCCAGAATTACTGAACAATTAATCAGTATTTCTGGAACATCTACTAGTCTCAGAGTGTCCAGAAAACAACCAACATTTAAAAAATAACAAAAAATACCACGCAATAATCACTTGATTGTTAAATCGTGTGCTCTCTGCCAGACTGGCTAGTATTCAGTTCCTGACTTCCAGGAACTCCCAGCCTATTGAGAGAAAAAAGACAGAAACGTGCTAACAAATAATTTCAGGTTTCTTACAGTGGCACCATAAGGACACCAGGGGAAGACTGAAGGTTTGCAGAGGTGCCTGGCCAACAGAGCGAGACTCCCTCTCAAAAAAAAAAAAAAAGAAAAGAAAAGAAAATTTAAGACGTAATGTTCAGAATTCTTACCTGTTTAGAGCTAGCTTTGC